CACATAAGCAAAAAGAAAAAAGCTGGAAGTGGCGCTGTGGCTCAAGTGGTAGAGTGCTAGCCTTGAGCTGAAGAGCTGAGGGACAGCGCCCAGGCTGAGTTCAGGCCCCACGACCGGACCCCCCAAAAAAATCTTGAAGAGTGGGAAATATTTGAAGTCACTACCAGAAGGGTGTGGACCAGGCATGAGTTGCATAGGTAAGTAGTACTGAAGGCCTCACTGAGATGTGCAATGCTGATCAGGAGAGACACAATGGTGCCCAGGTGAACAAGAAAAAAACCAGCAGCAGGAAAGGACATGCTCAGTGTCACAACTGGTAAGTGAAAGAGCTCTTCAAATGTTTACTGGCTTCTGATCTGCATATCACCATCATCTCTGACACTGATGTATACTGTTGACTATTAACTATGTGAACTATGTGTCTAGTGGTACAGATACACAGCTGAAGCTTAATATAGGGTGAGTTTCAGTGGTTTATAATTTAACTGAAAAGACAAAATTATTCAACAGATGAATATCTGTGTCACTTTCTCCATGTTTACTACATCTTCCTCTGATCCTCCTCATCACAATCTTCTTTCCTTTCCATCACATTCATTTAGAAAGTCTCTATTTTATAGTCATATGAAGCCTCTCCAACATTTTCACCAGTTTTATTCATTTATTAAGAAGATATATTTGGGGCTGGGAAGGTGGCTCAGTGGTAGAGTGCTTGCCTTGCATGCATGAGGCCCTGGGTTCGATTCCTCAGCACCACATAAGCAGGGGAAAAAAAGCTGGAAGAAGTATTATGGCTCAAGTGGTAGAGTGCTAACCTTGAGCTAAAGAGCTGAGGGACAGTGCTTAGGCCCAGAGTTCAGGCCTCAGGACTGACCAAAAAAAAATAGAAGAAGATATATTTGTCTAGGCACTGGTGGCTCACATCTGTAACCTTAGCTATTCAGGAGGCTGAGATCTGAAGTTCCAAGTTCAAAGCTAGCCTGGGCATACAAATCCAAGAGACTCATCTCCAATTAACCATCAAAAATGCCAGAAATGGAGGTGTCACTCAAGTGGTAAAATGAGTGAAACAGTCAAGGGAAAACAAAAAGCCCTGAGCTCAAGCCCTAGTAAAGCACTTGGGTAAGCACAAGAGAGACAAAGACAGGTAAGTTCCAAATTCCTGCTCTCTAGTAGCTCACAGACTATTAGAGAAGAATAAGAATTTTCCTTGAAAATTACAGTATAGTGCAAAAAGTACACCTCTACCTTCATTTTCTTATGTATTCTACAGTAAAAAAAAATAGTAAGTATCACATAAACAGTTGTCATTAAATGAGTTAATACATGTAAAGAACTTAAGAAACATGATAAGAAACACAAGGTAGATTAAAGGTGTGGCTCAGGTACTAGAGTGCCTGCTTATCAAGTGTGAGGCCCTGAGTTCAAACTCCGGTACCACCAAGAAAAAAAAACCCTACAATATATCTGCATGCGGTGGTATAAGCCTGCAATCCCAGCACTCCAGTGTTTAAGACAGAAGGACCAGCCTGGACTACATAGCAAGATTCTGCTTCAAACAAACAATACCACTATATACCTGTTACTATTATTACTGTGATGATGATGATCATAATGATGATAATGACAGAAGTAAATAAATATAAGATTCTCTAAGAACAAAGAAGAGTCACACTTAACCCAGGCTAGAGTAAGAGATATCTGAACTGAGTGAGCCCCAAAGGATGAGAAAGCATTGAATGGAAGAATAAAAAGAACATAGGTTATTCCTCCTAGAACAGCTTGTGCTGATATTTGGGAGCAAAACACCACATGACATGATTGAAGAGCTGCATTTAGTTCAGCAAGAGTTTAGGGTATGAAGAGGGGAACGCCAAGAGGTGAAGCTTGAGAGGTCATCGAGTACAAACAAGCTTGGACTTTATTCTTTAGCCAATGGGGAGCCATTGGAATGTCTTATTTAGAGTAGTGACTTGATGAGATTAATATGTTGAAAGATCATCTTGAACACAGTGTGAAGGATTGGAGGAGGCAAGATTGGAAGCGAGACCAATTAGGAAGCTGTTACTTCCAGGTGAGGGAATTATTAAACCCTGTATTAGGAAACTACAGGAATCCCAGGGAAAAACCTGTTCGGGGAGCAATGCAATAGGGGAGGGGATGTGTTTTCTTTCAGACATGGCAAATTCAAGGTGCCTGTGAGATTTCTAGGTGTATTTTTTTGAGTCAGTACTAGAATTTGAATTTGAACTCAGGGCCACTTGGCCTGCCTTAAGCAGGCACTCTACTACCTGAGCTATGCCCTCAGCTCTTTTATCAATTGGTTCTTTTTCAAAGTATACTTGTGCTTTAGGCTCAGACAGACTTGTGCTTTCCTCTGTCACTCAGGATGACATGCATGCACCACTGTACCCAGCCATTGGGGGAGATGAGAGTCTTGCCAACTTTTTTTTTTGTCAAGGCTGGCCTTGAACCAAGATTCCCCAATCTCTACCTCCTGAGTAGCTAGGATTACAGCTTGAGACATTGTACCTGACTCTGGGTGGAATTTCTGTTGTCGTTTGGTAGAACTGGGGCTTGAACTCAGAGGCTAGTGCTTGCTAGGCTGGTTATTTATGAAAAAAAGTCTTGTTTCCTGCCTGGGAAATTTTAACTAGAAGTTCCTCTACCAGTCTTGAAGGTCAGGAAATTCAGATGTGGGAGTGTCAGTGGATGGGTAACAGATTAAGCCATGGAGGTGGATGTGTTTGCTCAAGGACAGTGTTAATTGACAAAAGAAAAGAATGGACTTCTGAGCAAGGCTTGTGTTTAAGATATGAGTAGGGAGAAATTTTGGAGAAGGTGAAAACAAAATAGATTGGAGCGGGTTGAAAATCAGTGGGATGGAAGTCTGGATTTTTTTAGTATCCTGTATCTTGGAAAGTGAAGGCTCCCTAAGCACTTCCAAATCCTGTACATCTCAGAAATTTCAAAGAATTGCCTTGGATGCCTTCCTCTTATGAAGTTCTTTATTGAAAAGCAGTTTCTGTTGTTGCTTCTATCCACGTTACTGCTCCTAATAGCCTAGGGAACTTCAGGACTCCCTTGTGGATTTGGAACACTATTCTTTAGAGTTCTCTACATCATCTGGGAGGCTGATAATGGGAGCATCTGTTACGAGATTGAACAGGTAATATCTGGTGTAAGATAAGTGTGAGGAGCCTTCAGGCTAGCTTGCAGACAAGGATTTGGGAAAGCTGGGAAGATCTGAGTTATCAGAGTATGGGTAGGAAGCTTTGTCATATGTTCCAATCTACCAAGGCATAGATTTTCACCATAGGTGGGATGCTGCATATATTCCCATATAGATTCAAGCAGCCTCTAACAAGTCTAAAGCTATCTTCTAGGACCTGTTCCTCCTGATCCAGTCCCCTGGAGTTTGGTCTCAATCTACAATTGAGGGGCCCTGTGGCACTGTTGCTTGGCAATATGCTAAACAGACAGCCTTGGTGACTTAACAGTGGTATTAACATAACCACAACGGCCACTGCCATCATGACCTTCTCGGAAAGCAGCCACCTGTCTCGCCCCTGCCTTTGTCTGACTGCCAACCTAAGGCATGTGCCTACGCAGGAGTGATGACATTTTGGCTCTACTTTCAAAGATTTTTTTTCTTTCTCATGTGTTATTTCTAAAGATAACAAAGGTCAAAAGGCATTCCAGCATTTTCTGGTCTCTCATAAGCTTCTGGTCAATATTTAATCTGGTTTATGGATTTTTTAAGGTTTTCTAGATGCCTTCTTGAGCCTGCTTGTGGCCACCCACAGACACTTGTAAGGAGGAAAGAAGTCAGCCTGGAAGAGAAAATCTCAAATAAGGGATTAGAGACCAGAATCTAAGGAGCAACTGCTACATCCAGAAGACAAGGTAAAAGGCCCTGAAGATACTTCTACTCAGAGGTCTGCCATGGCCTCTCTTGGTGTGCAACTTGTGGGCTACATCCTAGGCCTTCTGGGACTTTTGGGCACATTGGTTGCCATGCTGCTCCCCAGTTGGCGAATAAGTTCTTATGTTGGTGCCAGCATCGTAACAGCAGTCGGCTTCTCCAAGGGCCTTTGGATGGAATGTGCCACACACAGCACAGGCATCACTCAGTGTGACATCTACAGTACCCTTCTAGGCCTGCCCGCTGACATCCAGGCTGCCCAGGCCATGATGGTCACATCCAGTGCATTCTCTTCACTGGCCTGCATGATCTCTGTAGTGGGGATGAGATGCACAGTGTTCTGCAAGGAATCTCAAGCCAAAGACAGAGTCGCAGTGGTGGGTGGAGTTTTCTTCATCCTTGGAGGCCTCCTGGGCTTCATCCCTGTTGCCTGGAATCTTCATGGGATCCTGCGAGACTTCTACTCACCATTGGTGCCTGACAGCATGAAATACGAAATTGGAGAGGCTCTTTACTTGGGCATTATTTCTTCCCTGTTCTCTCTGGTAGCTGGAATCATCCTCTGCTTTTCCTGCTCAACCCGGGGAAATCGCACCAACTACTATGATGGTTATCAGGCACAGCCTCTTGCCACCAGGAGCTCTCCAAGGCCTGGTCAACAACCCAAAGCCAAGAGTGAGTTCAACTCCTACAGCCTGACAGGGTATGTGTGAAGAAACAGGGGCCAGTGCTGGGGAGGGGTGTGGCTGGGTCTGTGAAAACCAGTGGACAGCACCTCCAGGGCCACAGGTGAGGGACATTGCCTACTGGATCATGTCAGAAGGTGTTGCTGAGAATAGACTGACTATGGCCATTGGATCCAGTGAAGGCAGACATGGGAGCTGGGATGACAGTTTCCAGGTTGAATTGTCAAGGATATTGGCTGAACCAGTCTTTCTATTCCCCTCACCTTGCCCCCATGCCCTGAGTCTTTAACTTTAACCCCCAGATCTTACCTTCCAACTTTGGCCAGGCCGCAGAGGCTCCCTCGTCTCCTTTTGTGTACCTCAAAATCCACTCACAAACCCACTAGTCACATCTCATTGACTGACCTTTTCTATGATCAAAGACTTTCCCTCTGGCTGAAGTTGGCTCTTAGCTCATTGCTGGAGGACAGGGAGAAGAAACAGTGGTGGCTTTTATGATCGTGATTCTGAGCTCTTTCTTAAGCCTCCCTCCAAAGAAATGGATCGGCCACTAATAGGCCCAGGAATCTTCCTTCCACTCTTGTTTTTATTGCAGAGTGTCCAGTCTAATTTGTTCATGAACTGAAAGAAAACCATCGTATGGTATCCAGGGAACAAAAAGCAACTAGGTGCAAGATGGTAGCAAAAGAAGGCAGCCTGGGACCAAACCAGGGTCCAGAACCCTTTCCCAGGGCATGTCTCAAAATTCCTTCACTCTTACGGGTCAGGTATTGAACCTACAGCTAGAGGAAAGCACAAGGCAAGAAGATATTGTGGAAAGCTCAAAGCAGCAGCAGACTTGGACTCCACTGAGAAACTGCCTGAGAAGGTGTAGTTCCAACTTGCACCGAAGTCTGGGGTTCCTGAATTGGTCTCCTGTCTAAACCACAAGGCTAAGAGCCCCAGATAATGGTTTTCCTTAGGAACAATCACCCCATTTTTCTAGAGCTAGTCCTTGGTTGTGGGATTACAACATGGGAACTGTGGAGGACTGAGGACAATATACTCCTTTGACCCTGACCAAAACAATATGAATTTTGTGATCTAAGAAGCTGGGTGGACGTATGTGGTAGATCCAGTGGGTTTTTCTACTCTTCCAAAGAGTCCTCCCAGGGGTCTTTAGACCTAATGACAAATCAGCCTGAAAGGCTGAGATCAAGCCCTACCAACAGAGCACTGCAGAGCCTGTGAAAAAGTGAAGTACCAGATGGATCCCTGGTCAATTTTCATATTCCTCTCATCATCCATCACAAGATATCAGAGGGGACCTAAGGGTTCTGGTGTGGAACATCCATGCCCCAGGCACTGTGTACATGATCTGAATGATAGCTGCAGCCTAGGATTTCAATTGAAGTGGGAAAGTAGAGAACAGATCTTGGGCAACAGTTCCATCTCAAAAGTCTGAGCCGGCTACATTTCCCTTGGAGTAGGAGTGAGGGGCATAAACCAGGGACATTTTTCCTCACCAGCCTAATATAACCAGCTTTTGAAGATACCCAGCATACCTCCAAAACTCAGTACCTGCAAAAGGGGCCCATTCTCTGGGGTCCTTCTGACGTGCCTTGCACATTTCCACCCTTGTGTTTTTGTTCAAGCTGTTCTCCTAATCTGGAAGTCCATTTCCCCTAGCCAAGTCTTCCCATGCTTGGAGATCTTGTTCAGCACCACCTCCTTCACTGAGCCTTCTCTGATCACTCCATCCCTCTCCCTCCAATCCTCAATGCATAAATTGTTTCTTAATGCTTATCATTCACAATTTTTGATCAATAGTTCTGTGTTTGTGTGTCCGCCAGATCTCAAATGCCCATTATAAACACTTGGAGGATATGTGCTTCATCTTAGAACTATCTGTATACCACAGAATATCTGTCAGAGTGCCAGGCACACAATTGGTGATCAATAAACACTTGATTGAGTAATTGTTTCGTTGATTAAAAGGGGCCCAGACAGCATGTGTCTGAAAAGAATTGGGCTGAGGGGAGGGTGTCACCTGGCCTTTCTTCCTATCGGGTGGATAGAAAATTCTATATTTTACTGTATACAATTAAAAGCATAGTCATAACCCTCTCAGTAAACTCTTCATCCTGCCCAGTACTCCTCCCTTTTTGGAAAAAGTATTTCATTGAGGTTATTTACTAAATGCAAATGCCTATGTGTTTATGAGGAAGGTAAAGTATAGATCTGATCATCTTTTGGCAAGTGTGAAAACTAGATTTTAGCAGGTCCTGGTGGTATTGCCCATTCACCAACTAGTATACTGATGATGCAACAATATTCACAACCAATAGAAAGACCGTATGAGTGGTCTCCACACAACCTAAAGAAAGTAACTTATGGCCATCAAGGTAACATGGGAGCATGCAGGTTGTCCATTAGGTGATGTCAAAAAACATCAATTCATCAAGCGTACAGTATGGAACTGCCTGCTCTCTCCTGCTATGTCTAGGCACAGCCAGCTGTTCCACCAGAGGAATACCAGGTTTACATTCAAATAAGATATAACATCTTAGTTCCAATTCCCTAACCCTGGAGGTGTGAGTCTGTGAGCCCAATGGTTTGGCCTCACTAGCAATTAACAAAGATTAATTTATAAGGATATTGACCAAAATAACACTGACAGTGACAAAGCCCTATGAGATTCAGCCTAAGCAGCCCCTAAACCTAGCACACAGAAGCAGTTATTTCAGACACTTACCCTTGCACTTCTGGTGCAGAAGTTAGGACCCAGCAATCAAGCTCATTTAGGAGGAGTGGCAGGGAATGGGAGGGCTCTCTGGACAGAAGCTTAACAAAAGAAGTCTTGTCTCTGGTCTGGCACCAGGGTGATTGTGTAGTGAGGAGGGGTCACTGAAAGTGGAAAGACAGGATAACCTTGCTGATTCTGCTGTGCTGAGTGTCTGGTATGGGCTCTGAGGATCAATCACCTGGCAGCCAAAACACCTTAAGATTTCCTGACTTGATTGTATCCTCAAAATCCCTTAGAGAAGTTTTTCACAGGAGACAAGGACTAAAGAAGTTAAGTAAAAGCCCTCAAGTTAAACAGGACTTAAGAAACAAAGAACTCGCACTCATCTGGTCGAACCACTACTAAATATCCCCATGCTGCTGATCACATGTATGGTGTATAACATGTGAACACCGTTATATGTTACAGACTGTGATAGACAATTTGCTCCAGGAAAGTTAGAATGAACTTGTGACTTTAAATGAGCATCATTATTCCACAATACTGTGAAATTCTGGAAATTATGTAATTGCTTAATCACAATAAAAAAAAAAAGAACCTCGGGGAAGGTAGGGAGGGAGGGGATGGTAGGGGGAAAACAATGGAGGGGGTAACAATGTTCAAGAGGAAGTGTACTCATTACCTCACTCATTTAACTGTAACCCTCTGTATAGTATCTTTACAATTTAAAAAAAAAAAGCCCTCAATTTAGAGTAAGTCTAGACATGAGCTTGGAGACACTTCCCATGGCAAAGTGGATTTGGGATTCTCAGAAATCATGAAGACCAGTTGCTGTTTAAATGTCCCTTTCCCTGTCTGCCACTGCAATAGAAGAACCTGTGAGGAAGTTAGGGGACAGAGCTTCCCACTTGTCTTAAAATGAAGCTGTCTGGGGATTCATTTGATAATCTGGAAAGTCTCAATGGAAGGAATCAGAAATTCACTCGGCTAAGGCAGACAAATGAGTCACTGATCCTTACTCTAGTTTCCTAGAAACCTCCTGAGTCTCAGTCCAAGTTGAACCGTTTTCATCTCCCTCCATTGCCTTCTATCATAAAGTAATTTAGATTAACCATAGACCTGGGGGATAGTGAAGGCCATTGTGTTTATGTTCCCACTTCATGGCTCTGACCCTTGCACAAGGAGAGATGTTTCTGCCTTCCTTCATTCCTCTGATAATAGCATGACTCATGTTTTCCCCCTTTGGGGCCCAAGTGACCACTGCTAAGTGATCATTAATGGAGGTAGGGAGACTGAAACTTGCTTCTCAGTGGCAAGACAAGCTCCACTGTTCTGAAAGATCTTTGTCCAGCCAATCAGACACTCAACCTGCCATCTAACTGTCCAGTCAGCCAGACCACACCAACTGAACAATTACTCTGTGTTAGGCAATGTAAGGTAAGAGCTAATGAGGGTGATAAGCGTGAACTGTGCATTGGATAAGTTGACAGCTAATCTAGGGGAGAAAAGCCATGTATCCCGACCATAGTACAAAATGAGAGACGGAAAAGAAATTAATGTAGAGGTGTCAGATAGTGAGAAAAACATTTATGTAAACTCCCTTAAATCTCAATAAATATGAAATAAGAACCTAGAACCTATAGATCTTGGGGAGGGGAGGAAGATCAAAGGAAAGTGCTCCTGGCTACTGATGGAGTATGGAAAATTAATCAACAGAATGAAGAATAGTGCCATGGAGGAAATGTCTCACAGGACACCCAGGTGGCTCTAAGAGAGGATGTGACCCTGGTTCTCCTTCCCTTGGGCAGTTCTTCAAAAACTACTGGGGCACTTGAAGCTAAAGGAAGGCAAATGATGCCTTGCAGGATCAATTGTTCCTTCCCATTTTGTTTTGGGCTCGTAAACTTTCATGCCTAGGCTGTCTACTCTAGGACACAAAGGCCCTCAGGCTGGGAAGTATATGTGCTCCTCCACATCTGACTGAAGCCTGGCCTTCACCCACCTGCTCAAGCACTTTCTGGCTTTGATAAAAATTCTGTTATCTGGGGCCGGGAAGGTGGCTCAGTGGTAGAGTGCTTGCCTTGCACGCATGAGGCCCTGGGTTCAATTCCTCAGCACCACATAAGCAGAAAAACCTGGAAGTGGCACTGGGGCTCAAGTGGTAGAGTGCTGGCTTTGAGCTGAAGAGTTCAGGGACAGCGTCCAGGCCCAGAGTTCAGGCCCCATGACCGACAATAAATAAATAAATAAATAAAATTCTGTTATCTGCAGGGAAAAGAACCTCAAACACGAAGTCCAACAAGTTATTACTCTGATGCCATTGAAATGGCAGTTCCCTAGATGCTGTGGTGTGATCATTGATGAAAGATTAACAGGCAGTTATCAGGCACAGTGATATCAAGGCTATAATCTGACCATCCCTTCCTGTCTACAACCCACCAGTTTCTTTGGAATTGCACTGGGGAAGCCTTGGTTAACTCTAATCAATAATTCTAGTTCTCACAGCCTCAGTTGATGACAGAAGTATCTCAGGGCTTGAAAAAGCAGGAAACCACCATACGAAAATGTCTCTTTTAAAAGACAGTCACTGCTTTCCTGTCAACCCTGAAGTCCTATACTTCCACAAGGGCACCCTAGCCAATTTACATGTCACCACCTCGGAGGGCTTTGAGGAACTTTCTGTTGCAAACATTCATAAACTTGTAAAGATTACACTGCAATAGCTTTAAAAATAAGGTAGGAAGCATGATGAGATGTGACATCAGATGATAAATGCTGTGGCAAGCACAACAGCATTTGAGTAGAAATTCCTGCTGGCCAACAGCACTTTCAGCTTGGGGATATTTTAAGTTGTTACAAGGCCAGTCACCCTCAAATGTGCACAAGGAAGATGTTCGTTGAAGTTTCTTTGCCTCAGTTTGTTGCTGGAACTTCCCAGGGGGGTGCAAGAGGGTAAATCAGGATTGTTTGATATTGTAAAGGCATTACCCCCTTTATTTAAAGCAGGTGTAGGGAATGCCTAGTCTCCTTCAAAATCAGGTTATGTGACAGGACAGATATGTATGTTTCTTATCTGCTACCTGCAGCCCATCTGCCTGCATCGATTATTTTACATGGTCCATAATGATATTATGACATCTAAATGGCTCTTGGCAGACAAAAAGTTCATCACTCCTGGATTTAAAGGCACAGAAAGCCTTCATTTAAAAATCAAATATATTTTGGGGGAAGAGAAACACATGCAGCTACAGATTAGCTACTGACACCAGGATTTGAACTTTTTCTTGGTTTAGTTCTAAAGAAGCTAGAAAAGATACATCTGATGGATTTAAAAATCTAGAATAGATTGGCACTAGTGTCTCACACCTGTAATCCTAGCTACTCAAGAAGCTGAAATTTTAGGATCATGATTCAAAGCCAGTTTGGGCAGAGAAGTCTGTGAGACTCTTATCTCCAACTAACCAGCAAAAAAAAGCCAGAAGTGGAGCTGTGGCTCAAGTAGTAGAGCACTAGCCTCAAGTGAAAAATCTTAGGGATAGTGCCCAGGCCCTGAATTCAAGTTTTAGGACACATGCACACAGCTAGAATAGCAATTCAAACAATACACACTGGAATTTTGGGAAGGATAGGACTTCTCTGGGTAACCTATGCACCTTTCAAACAGATATGTCAATAGCTTCCCAAACATGGAGATAAGGTAGAAATCATAAAGAAGGTAGACAGGATGAGAAACGGGGTGCCACCCTCCCATTCGCAATTCCAGAGGCATTTTGTGTGGTTAATTTTACTCCTGAGTGTGTAATAATAAACCAGTTATGTTCTCAAGTGTCACTTTCTATTCCCCTAGAGACTTGCCCAACTCAGCACTGTCTGGGGAGGGGGTTCAAAGGAGCCAGTGAGAACAACTCAGGGCAGAGGACAACAAGTCCAAGACCTCCTGGAGTGTAAGAATAGGATCCCAATGACTGTTTTCATATCAGGAAAGCTGCCAAGCAACAGCCGGAGTGAAAAACTCAGTCAAGAGGAAATGAATTTCCACATTGTTTGGACGGATATTCGTTACATAAGTCAACGATTTCCCGATCATGAGGGCAGTTAAACATTGTGTGGGACTGTGGAACACTCTTCCTTGGAAATTCCTACTAGTGTGGGATGGCTTTAGCATTTTCCTATCAAAAGGAAGAAGCCTAGCTGTACAATGTAACTGGCGTAGAGTTTGGGTTTTCCAGTTGG